CCTGGTCACCAAGGAGGAGACAGACACTGTAGTCAGATTGACTGCCTATCCAGTAATTTTCTTCTATTTTTTAAGTTTTCTTTAATGTATGTGGCTTTTCCAGTGTGTGTGTTTTGGGGTAGGGAAAGGGGGACTCTATCTCAGCATCCCCAGGAAAGTCAGTGACTTGGAGCACCGTTCATCGGTGAATGGCCTGGCAACACTCGTGTTTCTTCTACCCTTGACATGTGAGAATCATCCCAAACCACATGATTATATGGTGATGGAGGGAAAAGTGAGACAGAAAAGCACCCCAAGGCTTTTTGGCTAAAGTATCTGGCAGAATCATGAAATACAAGATTTGTTCAGAAGAACTCTGGGTTCTGATGCTTAGACATAAAAGCAGTGTGCTCACTCAGCTACAGAATATTCCTGTTCCCAAATGACAAACCGGCTTTCCCCACGGAAGGCCTCAGAGGTCTCATCTCTCATTCCTCCCAGACTGCGCTAGAGTCAGAGAATCAACCAGGGAGAGGCGGAGGAGATGGAGAGGAAAGGGACCCAGCATTACCCTGTACTATACTAAGCACTAAGCCAGGGTCGCCTTCGTTATTTCTTTCAATCCTCAAAATTAGGCGGAGACAAGTCCTGTCTTTAGAGACAAGAAAGAGAAAACTCCAAGATAAGCAAGATTGGAAGTTGGTGAATTGTAGTGATAGGATTTGCACATGACAGTCTGACTTAGAAGCTCTTGATCCCAGGCAACATGAACACAATAAACCTTCTTGACTGAAATCGAATCAGAGGGGGGAAAAAAATTAAAAAAAAATAATAAATAAAATCAGGAAAGGTGAAAAAAAAAAAGAAATTGAATCAGAGGACTATCTGTGGTAGCCTCGTGGTAAGACTACAACATTGGGCTACAGTGTGTCAGAGAATGAGGACAGGGCAGGGTTCAGATTCGTTGTTCATAGGGTTGCTAGGAGTTGTACTCAACAGCATCTAACAACAACAGTGGCAAGGTGTTATGCTGCCAACTCAAAGACACATGGTTCAAATCCATCGTGGGAGAAAGATGGGCAATCTTTTCCTGTGTGATTGATTCATTGCCTCTGAAAACCCACTGGAGGGTCAGGTATGGGTCCATTATGATTTGATGGTACACAACAACAACAACAACAACAACAACAACTGGAATGGTGGAACAATTCTAGAAAGCGTTGCTTAAAGCTCATTAGAGATGTGTGTGTACTAAAGAAAATGAATACACCAAGATGCTAGGATCCCTTTGGGAGAGCCCAGTGACATTTAGGGCCAAGGGCAAACCCGCCCTCCCTCTGTGGCACTGTCTGTAGTAAAGAAGTCAGTATTCAGTATGCCCTCTTTTTATGGCTGACAATGTGCTAGTTATTATCCACATATTCTCTTTAATTCTCAAAGAAATGAGACACCCCAAGTCATATAACTAGCATGAGGTAGTAATGAATCTGTTGTTTGTTGTTACGTGCCATTGAGTCACTTGCGACTCAGAGTAACCCTATGTACAACACTTCTGAACCCTGTTCTATCCTGAGTCAATTTCATTGTCTCTGACACACCTACTCCCTTTACCCCAGCCACCCCAGTCAGTCTTCCTCTCTTGCGCTGTCCCTCCTCCTTTCCAAGCATGTCCCTTCTCCAAGGACTGGTCCCTCCTGACATGTCCAAAGTATGTGAGACAGAGCCTCTAAATCCCTGCCTCCAAGGAGTAGTCTGGTTTCACCTTCTCTGGGATAGACCTGTTTGTTCTCTCAACAGTCCATGGTATGCGCAATACACTTCTGCAGCATCACAGCTCAAAGGCATCAATTCTTTTTCTATCATCCTTAGTCATTGTTCAGCTCTCTCATGCATAGTAAGTAATTGTGAAGACAAGGGCCTGTATCAGGCATGCCTTAGTCTCTTGACTGATATCACTGCTCTTCAGTACTTTGGAGAAGTCCCTGACAGCAGATTTTCCCAGTGCAAATCATCTTTTGATTTCCTGGCTGTTGGTACTGAGAATACTGAGTGTGGAACCAAGCAAGCCAAAGATGTTAACAATCTCAGTCTCTTCTCCATCATGATGTGCCAATCAGCCCAGTGGTGAGAATCTTTGTTTTCTTGATGTTGAGCTTCAATCCATATTGAAGGCTGCAATCCTTGACCTTCTGCAACAAACGTCTCATATCCTCCTCAGTTTCAGCAAGCAAAGTTGTGTCATCTGCCTAATGCAGGTTGTTGATGAGTTTTCCTCCAATCCTGAGGCCACATTCCTCCTTATAAATTCCAGCCTCGTGGATGATCTGTTCTGCCTATAGATTGAAAAGGTATGGAGATAGGATGCATCCCCAGTGTACACCATTCCTGATTTTGAAACATGCAGTGCTTCCTTGCTCTGTTCTGATGACTGCCTCCTTATCTAAGTATAGGATTTGCATGAACACAATCAAGTCTTCTGGGATTCCCATTCTCCTCTAGACTAACTTTATCTGATACTAAGCCTATGCTTTTTCCCTGCCGACTCAGAACCATCCAGCTAATACAAATCTATCATCACTTTCACTATCATCACCATTTTTCACCAGAGGAAAAGTCCACACTTGTTGCATGATCAAGCATGTCAAGAGCTACCCTCTCCCACCTGGCTTACTCTTCTATGGCACCCCATGTCTTACGTTTATCAGTGCAGTATCAATTGTGAACCAAATGTTGGTGCCATTACCATTGGGTCCCATATTTGGCTCCATGAGTGTCCTGATACTAGTCTCATTATGTGGTCTTCCCTAGGAAGCCCCCCTTGCTGGCCCATTCTGTACATCCCTCAGCACACATGGGTACTTGTGCTGTGTTTTCATTGTTAGATACCATTGTGTTGACTACAAATCATAACAACCCTATAAACAACAGTTCTGAGCTTTGCCCTATTCTGCACTATTCTCAGCATCTCTGATATTCTGAGCCCACTGTTTGTCATTGTGTTGTCCTCACCTCTTTCACAGACCCACCACTTTTCCAGATTATGTCTTTTTCCATGGATCGGCCCCACTTGACAGCATATCCAATATATGTGAGGCAAAGCTTCACTATCCATGTCTCTATGGAGCACCCTGGTTGCACTTTCTCTAAGACTGATTTATTTATTCTCTTGGCAGCCCACAGGATGTTCAATACTCTTTTCCAATTCAAAGGCACTGATTGTTATTTATTCTTCCCTATTCATAGTCCAATTTTTAGATACACAAGAATAGAAAACATAATGGTGTGTGGATCAGGCACCTTAGTCTTTAAAGTACCATCCTTGCTCTTTCATACTTTAAAGTGATCCTTTCAAGGAGATTTGCCTAATTCATTACATTGTATATCTATATCATTTATATGTACCTAGTTTGCTACACATCTTTATCTTACCAATACACTCTAAGTTCCCTTTAAACCATCACTTCCTTCTTTGAAGATCATTCTCAAAGAGTAAACTCAGAAGCCACAAAATGCACAATCTGAAGGGGAAAAAAGAGTGCCCAAAACAGTTCTACTTACCATATTTGGTAATGGCATGGTGTTGGACCAAGGACCTTTTGAGGCACAATGTAAAAATATTTTATCAGAATATAACTCTAGGATGGGAATTGAAGCCTGCATTTAATTGGAATAAATGTGAAGTCCTCCATTCAAATCATCAAGTGTTCAAACATGACAAGAAACACTTGGCATGACTCTAATTCAATTAAAAAACCAAAATTCTTGAACTTCTGATGTTAAGGTGAAAAATGAACTCAAGAGCATAATGCTTGTTTTAAGGAAAGGAACAGGAATGCATTCTTAGGATAGATTAATGGAAGTGGAGTGTCAGAAAGCAAATGTCAAGTTGACCTCTGGGCTGAGCTGCCAATATGGCCTATGGCAAATTGCGTGTTGAATTCTGAAGTGCCTACGTGAGAAACAGTAGAGCCGTAGGAGAAGGCAAAGATTAGGTATAGTTAGCATAGATGAGAAAAGAGGAGGGTGGAAAACAAGGTTATTTTCAGACGCATGAAAGGTTCGTTGTGGAAGAGGGTATAAGTTACTGAGGAATAGGTTTCTGTTTAATATACTGCATTCTGCCCGCAGTAGATCAGAATCCTGGTCCTCCAAAGATAGCCAAGTCAGAATCCTCAGAAAACAGACTCTGCAGAAGTAACTAAGCAATCTGAGATGAGGCAGATCACCTGAGTGGCTCCAATCTGATTAGCAGGGTCATTAAAATAGAGGTAGGAGGGTCAGAGAAAGATGTGGCAACGGAAATCACATCAGTCAGAGATCTGAAGGTGCAGCACAGCTGGTTCTGAAGCAGGGCAAAGGGGCCACATGCCAAGAAATACAATGTCCCAGGAGCTGGCAAAGATAATGAAATGGATTCTCCCCTACAGCTACCAGAAGGGAGACAGCCCTGCTGACACCTTGGATTTTAGCCAAATAAGACACATTTTCAACTTCTGACCTCTGGAATGGAATAAGAATAAAGCTGTCTTGTTTTACGCCACTAAGTCTGTGGTGATTTATCGCAGGTGCTATAGGAAGTGAACACAAAGCCTATCCAGGGAATGGCTATTCCACGGCCAGCTGGGTTCCGTGTCCCAGGATGTAATCAAGAAGAGACTGAACGTCTACCTTTTCAGGCATGTGATGTAAACAGTTCATGTACTAACTAAAGAGTAAGCCTGGACAGCTGACCCTCCAACTCTGAGGGTCTGCCTTACATATGGTGGTGATTCGTTCTGCTTTTGTATTTGGATGCTGGTCCTTATATGCCCCCATATCTATGATGGGAAAGGCTTGTCTACTGTCTTCTTCCATAACAACTGTGGTCTTGACACTTCCTATCATTACTCCGAGTGGGGGTGTCCCCCCGCTTTGGGGACAGAAGGAAGCCAAAGGAGGAGCCAAAGGCAGGCTCTGGGGGAGATGCTAGGGCACGTGTACCTGTCATGAGCTCTGGGCACAGTGCCTTCTGGGGCGCCTACCTGAGCAGAGGACTCCCTTGTTTCTGGCACAGGAGAAGTTGTCGCACTCGCAGAAAGGCCCGTAGATCTTCCCGAATTCGTTCTCAAAGCAGGAGCACTGGTTGCAGCTGCACTCCCCGCGCCCGCTGCACAGCGGCTTCCCCTCAGCCTCCCGGCACAGGTTCTGGTACTCGCTCTGGTTCTCGCCTTCCTGGCACTCACACTTGGTGCCCAGGTAGGTGGGGTTGCACTCACACAGCCCGCAGGTATAGGTCCCATTACCGCTGCAGCGGGCACTGTCCAGCTCCAGCCTGGCACTGCAGCCACACGGGCAGCTGTAGGTGACGGCCACCTCCAGGCTGTCCCGAAACCCCACAGGCCGCAGGGTGAACCTGTGTTCTGTGGGTTTGCTGGGGCAGCTCCGGGCCTCCACCGACACATCAAAGGTTGCCTGGGCAGAAGGAAGAGGGGGTGCATACATGTCAAGAACTATCAGCATTAGACTGCCAAGCACCCAGCAGCCCCACCACTCCTTTTACTTCCTAGAAGTAAATGCAACAATGACCAGCTGCCAGGGGTGGAGTAATAGGGCTGCTAGAAAGGGACACCTCAGATCACTAAAATCCCCCATTTCATCCAGGAAGAGAAAGCACACGTGTGTTAACAACAGTCAGCAGTGCACTGGGTTCTTTATCATTTATTACCCCTTAGTCCTCACAACCAGAAGAAAATAATTTAAAAGTCAAAGGTGTCCACCTTTATTCTGTTCTTGCCACCAGTGGCTAGCACACCTCCTGGCTGCCCCACCCCACCATAAAGTTCATTCCCTCACACGCAGCTGCTAACCAGGTTGGTGGCCTGAGACTACCTATAAATGCCTCAGGAAAAGGCCTGTCGGTCTACTTCCAGACATCGGCCAGTGAAAATCCTACGGAGCACAATTTACCACACAGAGCCGGCAGGAACCAGAATCAATGTGATGGCAAGTGGCCCTGGTTTCCCCCGTGCCAGGCACTGTGGACTCAGAGGGTACAGAAGCACCTCTGAACTCACGGGCAGCTCAGGGCAGCGTGTGCTCAGCCTGAAAGGACGCTGGAGACTTGCAAAGTGCCCGCCCTTATGAAGAGAGCGCTCCTTTTCTATTGGAGGATGAGGTAACACCTGAGGTCCCTTCCAGCTTGTCTTGCTCTCTTTGCAGACACATGTGCACCCCAATTGCTCCTTCACAGCCATACCTGCACTCTAATCTCTCCTCTGAGCAGTTCTCAGAGCTGAGAACAAGTCAGCTGATGGCCCTGAGGTGTTCAAGAGTCATGCTTAAAGGATGCCTTGCCTGTACAGAGACTTCTTCTTTTTAAACAAACACAACATGTTAAGGAAGTACTGCTAATGTCTGAGCTTCTTGCAGGTTGCTATGGGAAGAGGGAGAAAGGTGGCCGTAACGGGTGGCAGATGGTTGGCAGCAGAGAGGTCTGTGGGTGCCTCACACACCTGTAATATAAGGTCAGCCAGGTTGCTTAGCTTTGTGGTCTGTGGAATCAAAGCATAACTTCCTTCTCTCCTCCTTACTAAGGAAGAGTCAGGTGGGTTTCAAATCACCCAAGACTCCCTTCAGAGAAGTGCAACTTTAGCTCTGTGGACAATCACCGACAGGCAGCAGGACCTTCTGATGGAAGAAGAACTTCTGGTTAAGAAGTTCTTCTGCTCCGAGTGGTGGGAGGAGGCAAGGGGAGGGGGTGGCAAAAGTAATTTCAGGTATACAAGCCAAAGGAAACAAGATGGGGGTCCACCAGGGCCACCGAAACCTCCTGCAATGTGAATAGTTACCAATTGCCCAGTAGTGATCTCACATGGCTTCAGAAAACAGATTGCCAGACCTGGCATCTGAGGTAACTCTGAGCAGTCTTGAACCTGCAACCTTTCAGTTAACAGATAACAACACACTAACCATGTGCACAATCTAGGGACTCCTCATTTATTCTCACACGCTCGATGTGAGTCTGTGAGGCAGGATACTCGCTTTACAAAAAGGGAGATGAAGGAGGCCAGCATCTCGTGTCTAGGTCTGAGTAATAAGAAAGATGCAGGGGCCATTTGACAGGGGCACCCAAAGCAGTGGCAAAGGCTTCTCCAATTCTTCCCATGGGCTGAGAGTGACCTGGCACTGGAGGTGGGAAGGGGTTCCTGAGGGCTGAATTTGCCCAGTCACTCAAGGCACCATCTCGAATGCCAGTTCCTGCTCTGTTTCCCACAGCAGCTCTGCAATGCAGTTGGTCCCTAGCTCCCCCTTTGTGTGAGCTCACCAATGGGGCTCAAAGGAGGATTGAGCAGCTTGCCAAGGGCCTCCTGTTCATGAGCCACAGTATCCAGACTCAAATCCAGAACCGGCACATGCCAAAGTCTACATTTCCCTCCTCGTATCTCATGAACTTTGGATGTAAAAGCCTCAAAGCAGCCCAAAGTGGTATCACAGGCTCGTGTGGGTGTTTGTTGCTGATGCTCAGGGAGGAGCAGTGGCTTGCTCAGCTACTTGCTAGGACCACAAAGTTGCTGACCTTCCTAAAGAAAAAGGCTCTAAGAACTACAAAAGATTAACTCGGACTAATTTGCTGAGGTAATCTGGGTTTGCTGTGACACTGAAACCTTTGTCATTGGAGTCTCAAATGCCATTATGGTGTTCCATTACAGTTGTTACTGTACCATAGGTGTGTCAAACACCATAATGGCTAACCATCATGGGCAGTATTTGGTGGAGCTCCCAGACTGATTAAGGTTTGGAAGCAGGACTGGCATCCACTTCCTAACCCACATGCCTCTGGAAACTCTATGAACTTGGAGAAATGATTATAGCTGTAGACCTCGTATTTAAAAGCAGGTTGTGTCTGAAGGTCTAGTGTTATTTTTGGAGGAACATTCTTCTAAGTTGTGCAGCACTCTTCTGTCAATTTGCTGCACGGAGGTAATTTGGGTTTGCTGTGATGCTGAACCTTGTGCCACTGGCAGAGGGGGCCCCGGGGGGGCGGTCAGATGACATAATGGCTGCCCATGGTGGACAGTGAGTGGTGGAGCTCCCAGTTTAAGACCTGTTTAGAAGCAGGAGTGGCATCCACTTCCTAAACCACATGCCTCTAAAAAAATCTATGAACTTCGAGAAACAACGATAATTATAGAAAGGCTTCAGGCCTTTGTTCACAGGGTCTCTATGAGTCATGCTTGACTCAACAGCAATCAGCAACAACAGCCAAAGGCATTTCATTATCTTAACCTTTCCTCAGGAATACCCATCAGTGTCAAGGGATCCAACTGTGGAGGAGAGAATGGAACTGACCAAATTTGGTCTATGTGTGTGTTCACGCCAGACGTCTTGGGCAGTGAGAAGCACTGTATCAGCACTGGCACCACATCACCCAGTGTAGAAACACTCAAGTGCTGCCTGTCTGGTGGGGACAATTGATGGGACCTGGCTTTAAAATAGGTGTAAGGGCCTCGCTTCGCTTTGGTCCAATTCAGCTCCTATTGGAACTGAGTCCACTCCGGCCTGATAACTGGCTTCTGTCCATCTCAGAGACTAGAGCACAGGAACTGAGTCCACTCGGGCCCGATAACTGGAGGTGGCTTCTGTCCATCTCAGAGGCTAGAGCACAGGTCCTGCTTGGCCCACAAGTGCTAGAAACAGCACTTGCTGATGAGAAGTTGGTCTGTCTACGCCTCATGTGACAATTTGTTTTCCCCATCAGATCAAAAAGGAATCACAGGAGGCTAGAAGGAGACCCCTCCCCTATGCTTTCAGGACAACTGGCTGACACTGAAGGCTGCCTGTGTCTGGAGACTGTCCAGTCCCCCACTCCAGAATTCCAGAGGCCACGGTGATAGCCGCTCCCAGGCTCCGCCTCGTTGTTCAAGCCTCATTGTGATGCTTCTGGTTCCCCCATGGGGCTGAGCTACTCTTTCAAAGAGCTGCCCAGCCCCCACCGCAACCCACCAAACCCAAAGCTGTGCTGATGCCAAGCCCACTTGGATGGAGGCGGGACAAAGCCCTGGGGACGGGCACAGGGTACAAAGTCCCAGAGGAGTGGACCAGAGTGGGGACACTGTGGGAAGTCCATGACAGGGGCTCCCGGAGTCTTTGTACGAGGCACCAGTGCTAGCCACACAGCCAGCCACTTGCATACTGATTTGTCAAAATTACTAAGGAGAAAACTGAGTCCCAGCAGTTAGCTAGGCCCACACGAGCAGCCCTGGCTGGTTTCAGAACCAGGAGGGAAACATTAGGGAAAATACTTAAATTCTTGGAGAAGAGAACCTCATTGGAAACGGCAGTTTTCTAGGCTTCATTTAAGGAATGAGGACATCTTTGTCCCTCACTTCCTGCTTCTTTCCTGGACAGAGCACGGAGTCCCCAAAATCCCAGGATTAAGGCACAGAAGCATCTCCGTGCTGTGACCTAGGAGGCGAGGCTTTGCCTGTACCCCCACCACTTCTAGTTATGATGAAGGGTGAGCTGTCTGGCTGCCCATGTGCCCTGTTATGGACTGGATTGTGTCCTAACGCCTGAGACTATGATCCTGTTTGGAAAGACGAGGGGTTCCTTTTATTATTTTAATGAAGCCATGTGTAGGATGGGTCCTAAAACTAATCGTTTCAGTTATAAAATCTATTGCTGTTGAGGTAACTCAGTAGGACCTGGAACCAGACACAGTTGATCAGCCAGTTCTGACTTACAAAAATGCAAAAGAGATGACAGACAGGCACAGTGACAAGTCCAGGAGTGCCAAGGACTGAGGGCAGCTACTAGGAGCTGAAGTCATCATGAAATGACCTTCCCCTAGAACCACACCCTAAAATAAGCCACCTCTTAAGAGTCCTGGACTGTGAGAAAATAAACTTCTGTTTGTTAAAGTGATCCACTTGCAATTATCTGTCACAGCAACATGAGGAAACTAAGACTACTCCAGGGCTGCCCTGGCCACCCTTCACATGTCCTTGTCCACAGGTCAGACCCTGAGATACTCAATGACAATGGTACCTGTAACTGCTTTTCCTATAAGCCTCTTTTCTAGGTGGGTCCCCAGGACTTTCAATTATATGCTAGATATAATTCTATAATTATATTCTACAAGATCTGTCCATGCTCCTCACCATTCACTGACTTATCTACAGCCCTTCCAACTTGTGGCATCGAAGAATGGACTCCATCTGCCCAATACTGGCCTGCTCCCTTGGCTTAGCAAGTAAGTTCCACCAGTAGGGCCCGAAACCACCTCTGCAGCTCCTGCTCTGGCCACTCTACCCCGGCCCCCTCCCCTCACATACACAGCCATAACCCTCAGATGCTTGCAACTACCAAAAGGCTGGTGTTCTTCCACATCTTATAGGCGTGCCTTGCTGGTTTGCACATGCTATGCTCACCAATGTCACCACCCATCCTCCATGTCTATATCCAGAAAACTG